TATGGAGGGAAGTTCTTTCCTATTTTCCCCAAAGTGTTGAATTCTGCCAGTGAGAGCCTTTTTTGTTTTATTTGATATATTCTTTTCTAAAAGACATACATCAGGCTTTTTGTGGACTGCATTACCTTAGTGCATTTCTTAACTTCCACTCGAGCCAAAGAATCTTCTTCCCTTTTCAGTCAGTCTCTTGGGTTCAAAATTTCTGTGCCTTTTTTCACCCATTTAGACAATTCCTGAGCCACTGAATGCCAGTTAAAGTTCTATTTTTAACAAACACAAACATTCTTTGTTTTGAATTAAACCTCTGCTCACCATCTTCACAACCAAAATTTGTCATGCTTTATTTTAAGGCATTTGTGAACCTAGAAAAATAAAGAGTACAGCCACTAACAGTATGCATTTGGAAGTCCATTAGTTTACCCTTTTTATGATGTGGCATTACTCTGTGACCTTCCTGTCCTGTTACATTGTCTTGGGAGCCCAAAATGAATGTTCCAGTAGCAAAGCCATTAAGTCTTTCCTCCTGTGAGGCCCTGGAGGTTCTGTTTTATCGCTCTTGGGATGAGGGTGTATAGGCCACCTATAACAGTGATACTGTTGGCAACAATATTTGTTAAGAGGGAGCCAAATCATGCTTTGCTGAGTGTTGACTTTACAGTGATCTCCGTCAATGTGTTAATGAATTAGTCATAACTATGTAAGTCACACCCTTGTAGGTACACTTTATACAGATGAATAATTTTCCAGCATAAAGTCTGCATGATTTCTGTTCAGGAGGCAGTGTTATTCCCAAGGAGCATTGGTTTTGTAAGAAGGTTGGTTTAACTGCCTTTCTTTTGGCTACTTTGTAGAAATGTGAAATTGATTTGGGTTTATATATTTATCATCACAAGCGTTAGGATGCATCATTATTGGGCTTACATTTTTTTGAGGTTTTCTCTATGCTTGACTGGCCCTATTGTTATGGGCTGTGGCAGCACAGCACACAGTATGGGAAGAGTGTGGCAGGGAGGACCCACTCAACCATGGCTGAGACATGAAAATAGACAGAGGCTGGTTCCCAGATACCCACAATCCTCTCTGGGGACCCACCACTGCACAGTGACCTAAGATTTCCCATCAACAACGGTGACCAAAGCCTCCCTACCACCCAGTACTACCAGCTTGGGTATGAAGCCTTTACACACAGGCCTTTGGGGGAACCCAAGATCCAAGCTGCACCCATGAAAACTGCTGGTTAGCGACATACACGTACGTGTCTTCAACCTTATTAGAAATGCCAAGCGTTTTCCACAGTGACTGTATCAGTTTCCATTCCTGCCATTCACATATAACAGTTCTCATTATTCAGCATCTTCTGCAGCACTCAGTTTTGTCAGACTTCATACTTAGTTGACTTCCATGTCCACAGGTTTCGTTTCCTCAAATCAAACTTAAATTGCAAATCCTTAAACACTTAGATCTCTACTGGACTTATGCGTACATTTTTCTTGATATCATACCTTAAACAATATAATGTCACATCTATTTACATAGCATTTGCATTGTATTTTTAAGTGTGAGTTTCATGGGTTCTGTTTTCAGTAGTTTTGCAGGATTTATTTAAATGCTTAAACTAGATATCATTTGATTATATTTGTTTGCAGTATGTTCTACTCCATGTGTTGTTTTTTCTCTGTATTTTCTGAGAAAAAAGTTATTTTTATATAGTCAAACTTAACAAGTCTCTTCTTTTCATATAGGGTTTTTGTGTCTTTGGAAATCCTATCCTGTTCCAAAATTATAAAAATATTATGCTATATTGTCATGTAAAATATTCAGTTTTTCTTTTATAGTGTTGCTCCTAATGTACTTGGAATAGATTGTTATATGGTATAGAGTTGGGATCCAACTTTTTTGATAGGGTATTAGATATTGAAAAGACCCTTCATTATGTAAGCAAGATCTTTAATGCTACTTCTTTCTCACATTAAATGATCATAAATCATGGTATGTTTTTAGTCTTATTTCATATCTCCATGTCATTATCATTCTACCTTAGTTACATTGTAATAGTTAAAAATAATTCTTGCTAGGTTGTAAATTAATCTTAATTTATATTTTTAGAAGTTTCTTGGCTCCTTTTTGGCATGTTGTGCCTCTGTACATTTTAGAATCAGTTTCTTGGATTAAAGCCTTCAGCAACTTTTAAAGGATTGTTATTGAATTAATATATCAATTTGAGATTATCAGCACCTTACACTGATGAGTCTTATAAATCATAGCTTGCTTACTGTCTTTGTGTATCTTTCTTGATGAAACATTTGAATAAAGTGTTATTATATCCTCATATATGGCCTTTAAATATTTTTCTTAGATACTGTATTTTGTATTTTCAGAGATACTTTAAATATTTTTTAAGTTGTCTTTTTAAAATTATTGCTAGTTCAATTTTTTTAATATTTCTGTACATATCTAGCAATTTTGCTGAACATACATATCCTGATATTTTTATCTGTCAAATCTTTTAGGTTTTCTTAAGTACATGTACTGAATAGTACCTTGATTTTTTCCCCTAATAATCTGCAAATATTTTACTCTTTTGTGCTACGCTGTATCAGCTGTAGCTTCCAGACAACAAATATATAAAGTAGTAGCAGATATCTTTTTGGTTTGTTGACTCTTCTAGGAAAACATTTAGAAGTATGAATTTGATGCATATCTTTAAAAATAAACTTATTATATAATTTTTTCTTTAAATTTTACATACACTCAGTGCTTTGAGTTTTAACACGCACACAGACTCATGTAGCTACTACCATAATCAAAATAGAATATATCATTCCTCAAAATTTGTCTGTATGCTGCAGTTCTGTGGTCAAATCCTCCTCTCATTTCTAATCTCCGGCAGCTACCACTGTGATCTGTTCTTCATCCCTCTATTTTCGTCTTTCCCAGTTGTCAGATAAGCATGATTAAACTCTAATTGGTTTTCTGAGACTGATTTCTTCTGGTGTAGACAGAGACTTTGAGATTCACCCATGATGGTGCTTGCATTCCTTTTTATGCTGAGTTGTATTCCATTCCACGGGTACACTATGGTTTGTTTGTGTATTCATCCACTGAACTGAGCATATTTTTTTGCTCTGCATATTATTCTACTTCCTTGGATTAGCTTTTTAACCTATTGTGCTTCAATTTCTTTATTAATGGTAATAATAATGCTACCTCAATCATAGAGTTATTTTAGGGCTGAAGTGAATTAACATATGAAGTACATTTGGGCTTTCGTATCTGAGGATTCCTTATCCACTGATTTAATCAGCCACAGATCAAAATGGTTGATAAGAAAAACATTGTGGGGCTGGGGGTTTAGCTCAGGGGCATAGCAGTCGTGAGTTCGATGCCCGGTACCAATAAAAAGGAAAAAGACAAAAAAAAAAAAAAAAGAAGAAAGAAAGAAAGAAAAACATTGCATCTGTAGTGAGTATACATTTTTTCCTTGCCAACAAATTTAGTACAATGCCTATTTTCATAGCTTTTACATTTTATTAGTTATTGCAAGCAATCTGAGATGATTAAAATACATGGTAGGATGTGCATATGATTTGTGCATGTAATGTAATACATGTACTTGAGCATCTGTATGTCCTATAATCAGTGCATACTGTGGGATAACTGTACTTAGAATAATACTTTGTTATATAGTATCTGGTTAGTTTTGCACCAATGTTAACAAAGACTTTGAAGTGAAACAGAATTTGGTAGGTTCAGGAAACAGCTGGAGGCGACATGCCTGGGCAGCAATGTCTAGAAAGAGGGTTAGTATGAGATGACAGAGAAGTACGTAGAGAGCCGTATGGATTTCATCAGGAGATTTTGTTTTTGTTCCAAGTACAGTGGGAAGCCAGGGGTGAGACAGGATCTGGTTCATGTCTTCAGAAGATTACTCAGGGTGATGGGAGATGTACGTATTGGTAAGAGTGACAGCCAGGCACTCTTCCAGAAGGTACCGTAGCCATCTAAGAGAGAGATATGGTGGCTTGGGTCACAGTGATAGTGTTGGGGAGACAGTCACAAGTGGCTTGGATGTAGAACCCACAGAACTTGCTGATGGGTTAACAAACAGCTCAGTGAAACGTGTTCCCACCTTAGCACATAATGGCCAACTCTCCCCTCCCTGCAGAAGTTTACCCTCCTCCACTATTGAGCTGAAACTTTGTCTTTCATACCTGATTTGTGAAATCTACTGGGTGAAATAGCTTGTCTTTTACTATTTTAAATGAGGTCTGATTTCTTCCCTATGCATGGTCACAACCCTGAACACATTTATAAAACTAGCTTATCCCAGGAAAGATGTGCAATTGTAGCATTTTACCTTGTAGTCTGAGCAGCAGGTGTGGTTCTGGGACACCATGTGGGTAGCTTTTCTGTAGTCATCTTGGCTGCTCCATGCTTATGCAGCCAGCTGTGAGTTTCAGGGGTTGGCGGGAGTCCTTTTGTACACTGAGGACTTACTGTTGAAGTAAATGTCATTGTTCTCAGGTGAAAATTGGGCCAGAAATTTATTTTTGTCATTTCAGCCTCAAGTCACTGTACAGTGTCTCATTCAAATGAGAAATAGTCTTAACTTTCTAAGGTTATCTGAACACTAAATTGGCCAAGGGTGGTTATTCAATCTTGCTTTCAAATGGAAATTTTTTTAAAACAGGATTAAAAATAGACTTTTCTGATCTTAGATAATGTTCTTTCCTGCTCTTAACACATCTATGTTTGTTCTCTGTGGGGCCTGCACTTCAACTCCTCCTTAAAAACAAATGCTGACCCCTGTCTTCATCTGAAACACCCTAATCATGTTTTGCTTTTAACCCTGTGGAATCTCTCCTCAAGTCAGTGTGCATTTATGGCATCTATTTACTCAGCCTATTTGTAGAAGACCTCTGAGATCTAGGAGATGCTCATTTGAATTTTATACCTCATTTTGTGCTTCTTTGTAACTAGCTGCTTTTGTGATCTTACAGAACACCAAGCTGCTATTTTACACTTGAAGAGAGAACACAAAGAAGAAATTGAAACCCTTCAGGTATGCCTTACCTCTTTGATTCCACTGAGCTAGCTATTTGATACTGAGTTTCTCAGACGTTGAAGTCAGTATTCTTCTTGTGCCGAACTGTTTCACTAGATGCCGGCAGCATCTTGGGCCTGCTGGGGGCACTGACTGTATTGTGGGATTAAGGTCTCTGACGCTGTGTTTATAGATTTCAGTTTCTCAGTCTGAAAAAATGTCATCAATGTCTTGGGGTAGAAGACTGGGAGTTTTGCTTTTTAAACAGGGAAGAAGATAGAGTATTTAGACTTGGACTGTTTCTATGAAATAATTTAAAGGGCATCTTTCCTTTGCTCAACTCAGTAAGTTATTTTTCTTCTTCCTGCTCACATTCCCGGGTTCATATATCTGTGTGTCTCTGAGCAAATCTTCCTGCAATATGATGTCCTGCAGATTAAGGCGCTTAAAGGAGAAACGTCATGGCAGGAAGTTGTGCTGAGCCATTCTGTGTCCACAGGGAGGACTGGAAGGTTGCCAACTTGCTCCTCCTTTGTGGGTTTTGTGGGCAGTAACTGAAGTGCCTTTTTCCTTGTCCTGCCACCGAATGGTCCTTTCTTTCTAGCATTTGTTTGCAGTGCTTAGGGCAGGAAGCTCAGAATCTTAACTTCCAATAACTAGATACACACTCAGTCTGGGTCTAGTTTAGGGTGAACCATGCATTGGGCAAGAATAGTACCAAAGTTTAAATAAAACTTCTTGCTCATCTAATGCTAACTCATTATTTACTAATTTAATGAATTTGTGGATGAAATAGTCTTTTTTAAAATTTATTTTTACTGGTAACTGGAAAATTTAATAATAAATAAATTTATGGTTTATAACTTGTTTTGAAATGTGTATTTATTGTATAATGAGGAAATGAGGTTCATGAACATTTGAATTACTAAAGGGATTTATTTATTTGTGGTGAGGAAACTTAGACGTTACTCTCAGCAATTTCCAAGTAGATAATACATTGTTATTAACTATTGTCACCGTAATAGATCTCTTGAACTCATGCCTTATGTCAAACTGAAGTTTTGTATCTTCTGACCAACCTCCCTAATTCTTTCCCTTTCTGTGTATCCCCAGGGCCAGGTAGTCACTATTCTGCTCTGTTTCTGAGTTCAACTTTCTCAGATTCTACATGTGAGGTTGTAAAGTGTTTGTCTTATTATGCCTGGATTATTGCACTTCACCTTAATATTCCCAGGTTCATTCATGTTGCAAATCACAGTGTTTACCTCTGTTAGAATGAATAGCATTCCGTGGTGTATATATACCACATTTGCTTTATCCAGTCATCCACTGATGGACACATAGCTTAATTCTATATGTTGGGTTTTGTGAATGCTACACTGAGCACAAATATGTAGAGATCTCTTCAATATACTGATTTTGTTTCCTTTGGGTATGTACCCAGAAGTGGGATGGCTGGATACGATGGCAACAATTCTCTTTTTAATAATGATTATAGGAATTTATATTTTCATCAACAGTGTGAAGGGTATCCTTGCTTCCACATCCTTGCCAGAACGTACTGTCTTTTTGTTTTATTTTGTTTTGTTTTTAGTAATAGGTGTGAAGTGATATCTCCCTGGGGATTTAATTTGTGGTTTCTGATCATTAGTGGTGACAAACATATTTTCATATGCCTGCTGGCCATTTTTATGTATTCTTTTGAGAAATGGCTATTTCATTGCTCATTTTTAAATCAGCTTATTTGGTTTTTGTTATCAACCCATCTGAACTCCTGATACATTTTGTATATTAATTATCTTTTTTTAAAAAAAGTAGGAAAACTTACTAGGGAATAGGTATAGTTCTTGAGAGATAGGAGGGGTCCCAAGTGTGTGGCCAGTGAGCTCACTTCTCTGAGAAAGTTTTATAGAGTGAAATCATTAGAAGTCGATACAATATGGGTCAATTTACAATCAACCAGTAGTATTGCAAATAGAGCCCCTGAGCTAGCATTGATCCAGTAGTAGCAAAGGCATCTGTATATCATTAACCTTGATTGATAATCTGTAGTCTTAATTTTATCTTTAGTCTTAGTCTTGTTAGTCTTGGTCGTAGTAGTGTTAGTTTTAATCTTAGTGGGTGGGAGAGGATGGCCTGCCTCTAATGAGATAATGGTTTATTTATATGAAAAATCTAAAATGTTAGCATCTATAATGTCAGACTTCCTTAGGGAAATGTGTAGGTCTGGCTATTGTGACTTTAATCTTCTCCAGATGTGCCTCCAGCCCAGTGCATTCTTGTCTTCTGCCCTAACTCTCTTGTGGACCCAGCCTTGTCCAACTGTGAATAGTATCTCTACCTAACCCAGACGTCCACGATATTCACCTCTCTGATGAGATATCCCTAACTATGTTAGCAGAGAATTTCTATCTAGCTGTTTTGAGTTGAGAAGGACCAGAGTTGGGGAGACTGCAATCAGGAGCCTTTTTCAGAGAGCTAATCCAATGGGCCTTGAATAGAAGTCATATTGTAGTTTAGCAGTTATAAACTCTTTTTGCAAGGTTGATCTAGTGGTTCAGCTAAGAAGTTTGGCATATTTGTTATTGGTTCTATTGGCATGATCAATGAGCAAGATTAACAAATTTTCTAAGAAATTAAAGCATGTGTAATCAAAGCATGAACATTAAGATGGAAAAGGCAGGTTGGGGAAAGAGCCACATCCAGGTGCTGGTCCTAAAGGAGTGGAACAGTAGTTATATCAGTTGACTGTGTGCCCCTCTACTGGTGGAAGTTATCTGTAAGCTTGATATTTCTTGTTATAAATTCCATTCATTTTAGCTGTCAGAGAGTTTGATGGTTTTAAAGGACAATTTAAGGAATTTAAAGACTCTTATTGAACTTTTATAGCTTTCACCATAGTTTTTTTGTTTTATTTATTTATTTATTTATTTATTTTTGCCTCATTGAACTATAATGGTGGGCATGTATTGGTGTAACTAGGAACTGCTAAAAAGGGCCAGTGATTGGAACCCCTTTTTATAATTATCTTTTATTGCTGTAGTGTTATTTTCATATATTTTTGATTATATTTTTTTGTTGGATGTTTAAGAACAAGTTAAAGTGAGACCTGTGTAAATGGAAATTAACCCTTGCTGTCTATCAAGATCACTTAAGCCTTCCTAGACACTAATTTTGGACCCAAGTGCAGAGCCTCTCAGCTCCTTGTCAGCCACCAGGATGGGTCACAGTCTTGCTTGACCAGGTTGTTTTCTGTGAAAGCATGGGAGGCTTTCCCCTCGTTGATGCCCCTCTCTTTTGGTGCACTGTACATTCCCTGATTCCTGTCCTTTGGAATCCAGCAGTCTCCCTCCTCAGGAGGTTGGGTGACTCACCTAAATTTTAGGTACCTGTAGGAAAGGTTCCTTCGTGTCCTGGGTCCTCACTGAGCTTGGAGTCAGGGCCAAACTGCTGGTGTCCTCTTAGCCCATTTATCTTTCTAGTTCTTTCTCCAAACTTCAGTTATTGAACACTCAGAAGAAAAAAATCAATCATATTAGTATTGTAATGTGAGCAGTGAACTTATGTACTAAATCTCATCTGGATATCAAGCACTTTGAAATATAAAGTTTAGCTAGAGAACTGTCATTTCTTAACAATCATGGTTGTTTTGGAAGTTGGATCCCTGTAGACAGCAGTTATAAAGTTTTACTGAAAAAATTTGAGATCAAGAGCTACACATAGTATTTTGGCATGACAATCATTATCTTTGAAACACATTTTAATGTCTCCCTTGGTATAAAATAACTTTTTAGTCAGTTATTTAATTACAAGATATTAAATGACATAAAGAAACTTTACCTGAATTTGTTATCTTTTAACCATTTTTAGTGATATCTAAAGTAGATATCTTTATATCTACTTTAGAGTGATATCTAAAGTAGCATTTACTTCTTTATAGATTTTCCTTAAAGATAATGTCTAAATTTTAATCATTACAGCCACATTATGTAGACTGTACACTTTAGGTACCTTTGCCTGTTACAACACGATTCCGTAACAGTGACACACGCACAAGCTGGTGAAAGTGTCTGCATCATTTGGGTGTCTCTCCAGTGCTGAATTGGCACATACATTCATCACAAATAGCTGGACACAAGTAAGGGAGTGCCAGATGTTTGAGCCTAAAAAGTTTACAATTATAAACAAGTAGAATGTTTTTACCAGTAGAGTGTTTTTAGTTTTTTTAAGTTTAACCAAGAGCATGTTAAGAAAACTTTATTATTCTAGACATAGAAAGCTTACCATTTTAATTATGTTAAATATATCTTAACAGTAGTTTTAGATGACTCATAGGAACCAAACCATAATATCTAAACACTTAAGCTTATGCATACTGTCTTTATCCTAGGAAAAGTTTTTAAATTATTATAGAAAACAGCAATAAGACACTGGATTTATAAAATCAATCTTTGATGTTACCTCAGCTAGCTAACAATGGATGGAAATGTGGTGCAAACTTTAAAGGAATCTTTATTTTTATCATGCTAACTCACTGTTAACCCTGTGAACAAAAATAGTTTGGCTATTTCCTGATTGTCTGCTTATCTGTATACTAACAAAAATAGAACATACACCTGAAAAAATGACACACAGAAGCATATGTAGCAGCTCAACTATATATACCCTTTATGCTATCTAACTTTTATTTTTAAGTCTTACCTTGAGGCTCTCAGTCTTCATTTGTTAATGTTTAAATAAGTTTGAGCGCCCTAAAAACAAATATAAATCTCAAAAAAGAGCCAAAAACAGAGAAAAAAATGTGCAAAAAAAAAAAACAAAAAAATCCACTGTTTTTTAAAATGAAGCAGCTGCAGGTGTTTTAACTGGTTTAATGTTTAACAGACAGACAGACAGAAGATGATTACATTTAAATTACAGTGCACTCTCAGATGTTTATGGCCAAGTTAAATTACAATAAACCTCTGGCAGTTTTTAGGCTTGTAACTGTAAATAGACTAGGCAGAACTTTTTATAGG